CTTGTCGTATTCGCCAGCCTCGTGGCGTGCCCGAACATCAGCCTCCCGCGCCGGCAAGGTATCTCCTACGCTTGCGAACTCTACTGGGTTGACCACCATGGTCTACACGGCTGCCGTCCTAGATACAACTTAATGGGAATGAAAAAAAAAAAGAGCTACTATCCAAAAGTCTAAACGCGAGGCCTTCCACGCTCACTGCACCATGCAAAGAGTCACTCTACAACGGTGTTAGCTGCACTACGTGGGAGGCTACGGGGTTGTACGGGTGATTGATGCATTCCTTGTGTTCTCTCTACTTGTTATGTTTACAGAGAAAATTGGCGAGCGTCTCACTAAGAAAGTTGAGAACAACTTGAAGAATAGTAATGTCAATGTGAATACATCAGGAACCTAGCAACCTAGCAACAAGCAGCAAGTCGTCTTCCAGCGAAGCACTAAGGTGGCTTGCCAGCGTCGCAAGCCGGCGACTTGCCAACGCAGATAGGAGGTGACTTGCCAACGCAGGTAGGAGGTAACTTGCCAACATCGCAGAATGGCGGCCTGCCAGCATTGCACCAGAGCGGCTTGCCTACGTTGCAGCGAGGCGGCTTGCAAGCGTTGCAATTGCACCATGTGCACACATGTGCGCACCTAGCAAGTAGGTATAGTATGTAGGCTGAGCACGTCGTGCACCGTCACGCGCATTGCGCAGGTGTCAAGTCAGCAACGTGCCAATGGTTGTGCCCGATACACCACGTCGACCACGTAATATCGCCACGCAGGTCGACTTCGCCTAAACCACCTGGGGCAAAGTTCGGCACATCCCCGAAAAACTTTGTCGACCTGGTTATTTGGTCGACCAAAAAGGCCGCAAAGTCGTCACCCTCAGGTCGACGACCTTCACCGTCGACCGTCGATGCAGGGCGCCGCCTGCCAACGTCAATTCGGTCGGCCAACTTCGTGGTCAGCATTTTGTGATCGGATTCGATTAAGTCGGTTACATGAGACGTTTTGCTCCAAAGTTGGCTTCGCCGTTCGTTGAAGTCGGGTTTGCAGTGACAGGTACCACACGCGGGTACACCGGTGGGAGGGTAGAGTTTGGCAGCGACGAACACGGACGAAGGTCGGTGCAGAGGATGCGGCCGGTTAGCGCGCACGACCAAGAACAACTCCCTCAGCAGATACAAGAAGCGTTTCGTCGCCGGTTTCCTGAAACCGCACACCACTTTCCTTTAGATGTCCAGCTGACAGCAGATTTGCCTGGGCGCCAGACACATACAACACATATGAAATGAGAACATTCGTGCCCGCTGCCCCTTGAAGAGCAATCGTGCCACGACCTTGTACAGGCTGAATAGCGCCTTTGAATCCACGCACATGGTGAACGTCGCCTCCCGCATTCATATCTACAAATGCCTCACGCATCCCCATGAGGTGAGGAGAATAACCACTGTTGAGGGGGACCACGGTCGGATTCGCTTGCGCCGCTGCAGCTAAATAGTCACCCCCCCTCGTCTATCTTCCCCCCTCCCTCATCTCCCCACCTTGCCTCCCCGGACCAGATGCGACAGTGGGCATTCTCACCGACCTGCAAACTAGGTGCGCCTCTCTCCTCCTCCTATCCCTCTCCCCCCTTTCACACTCTAATCAATCTCTCTCTCCCTACACCAAACTCAACGCAGGAAAGGCAAACTCAACGTCCTGTCCTGTTGATTGCAGTAGCAACACGTCTCTAACTCTCTCCTCCCTTCTCCCTTCCCTTCCCTTATCTTCCTCGCACCTCCCGTTCCTCTCCTCTCTCCCTTCCCCCAATGCCTATTCCTTGCCCGCCTGCCTATCTGAGTGTCAATGTATGTGCGAGCAACAACAAGGCGTTGCTGCGGCACTACGAGGCGTGTGGGCAGCCCAGCCAAGGAAATGGTCGGTTCTGCAAATGAGTCCGTCACCGCGACGACCATCGAATACGATGCTTGCCCTTCTTGGTCCACGTCGTCACTTGGGGCGTCCTTCACACCCTTTCCGCGCGAAGTTCCGGCATCTGACGGCTGCTCGTCCTCAGAATCAGAGTGCTGGTTGTCCTTGCGGTATGCGGTTTCGCGAAGAGGTTGACGGTTCAGCGATCGTCCGCGCGGAGCTTCCTGACCATCGTCAGCCTCCTTGTTGACGCGGTCGGGGCACTGGTTCGCGACGTGCTTGGGATCTTCACAAACGAAGCGGTATCGTTGAGAGTTGCGCTTTCCGCCACCAAAACGTTCGTCACTCTGCGCGATATCCCCCACTTTTGTTGCTGCCCCTGCTGCTTTGACGTGACATAGTTGACTTGAGGGAGAAGCTGCTCCTTGCACCACTCGGATTCAAGTGTGAACTCCTCTTCAATGATGTAGCTCGAAAGCGTATCCTTATCGAGCTCTTCCCGTACACCTGGGAGTTTTACCATGCGCTGAAGGAGATTGTAGTTTGCAGGCAGACCTTTGATGCGTGACATATGAAGACATTGAATAGTCCACGCCAGCCATACGCAGATTTGCAAGAATCTGTTATGCGCGATTGCAGTATGCAATTGCGCTTTCGTGCTCCCCCATCGCCAGATTTGTCAACCGTTGTTCCAGCTGGCCGATGTAAAGGTCATCCGTTGCCTTGTAGGTCTTCATAATGAATTGCCAAGCTTGAAGACCAGCGTGCACCCAAAGTCGGCATGGCTTCAATGCAACTTGGACGACCGGCGAGCAACACCTTGAGATGACCACAAACGTCAACAGCTGTGCAGAATGGAGCTGTGCGCGCCGTTCAGCGTCATCCTCAGACGGCACCTCCACCGTGCCATCAACAACTTCTTCAGCTGCGCGTTCTCCAACTGCGGCTCAATGGACTTAACCCACGTTGTCAAGTCGTGACACCCTTCAAATAGTTTCGGCACGACGATCTTGTCGGGTTAGGACTTGACATATCCGTATTCCGGAGCGATGCCACCATCGCGTACAGTTGACGCATTTGCTACCCACGAGGGCCCGCCACCACTCGATCGTGCAGAGTTGCGACGACCGTGCGCGCCACTACGCGCACTCGCTGCAGCGGCTGACCGAAGGACTTGCGTTTGCGTTCCACCGACGCTCGCGGTGTGCACTCTGACGGCCCCTCGCAGTTCACCACGCGTCACACTTGCGCCTTCAACGCCATCGATGTTGACGTTGTTGCCTTCAGCACGGGGAGAAGCAGACTCAATTTCCGCTTCAGCTCGAGGAGGTGGGTGATCGCGAACCTACTTCGCATGAGCTCCTTCGATCATTAACTCCAGATCCGCGACTCTGATTTCGCCACCACTGTGGCGCTCCCGCAAAGCAGCGACCCGCGCTTCCAGGTCCATGACTTCCGTAGCGACGCCCTCGCCAGCCATACGGAATTGATGTGTCTGCCGGCCCAAGGTTGACAAATTCGACAATCATATCTGATGCTATCTGAAGTTTGCGTGTGGGGCCGTCCACGCTCACCGCACCATGCGGAGATAGCATTCCAGCCCGCTAACCGACACGGATAAAAAGGGCATGTATCCTTGGTGGGTCAGCGCACCCATACCCCCCCAGGACGACACCTGTAGCCCTTGGGGAGACCACTTCGGGCCATTCCAGTGTCCACTTCCAACATAGCGTACAAGAATGCTTTCTCATGTGATTCATATCTCAACACAAACTACCCACCCAATTGTGACCTACATATGCGCGACAGTCAAACTGGTTCAAGTTAGCAGGAAGCACCCACATGCTACAGCCCAATGGCCAAAGCACTGATTGGAGTGCACTGTGTTTTGTTGAAAATGTGCAGAGAGGTAACCGTCTGCATGCATGAAAAATAGTGTGGGTAACATGTTTAGAGTCATAGAGAGGTTGCCTTTGGATGATTCACGATTAGAGGAGGCTTGCTGCGTAAGAAACCAGTAGGTCGGTACCGCGAACCAGGTGTACATGAGGTCGCACCTGTGGCGGTGATATTTGCTGCTACCTGGCATATTTGACGGCACATTTGTTACCAATGGGATCCTTTTTATTGTTTCCCTAGCCAATCAGGTGTTGTTACCGACCGATTCCTAGCCATACTCTGATCTAGTTTGAGTTCGAAGTCTTGTGGTTTGTCATTGTCTGCGGCGCCGGATGTTTGCCTTGTGGTGTGGTGGGGTGGTGGTGGATGGAACACTACAGAACCACCACCAACCGACGACTTGCGTCAGTGTGTACGCTTCTGTTGCCCAGAATTTGGGAGATACTTGTTTGGAAATGCTGCCCGCACGTTTGTGCAGTTTTGGTTCGGTGGTTCAACATGAATGTGGCCTGGCCGGACCGAAGCTCAAACCATCTCCGTTTTAATTTCTCGTTTGGAATCTCGTTCGGTAAAGCCAAGAAGGAGGTGTCTGTTCAGCTCATCAAACCACATCCGAGGCTATCAGGCTTGGCGCGCCATTTTCAATGCAAGGCTCTAGTCCATGACATTCCGCGGCGCTCCGGGAGAAGGGCTTCTCCGCATTTGGATGGTTTTCCCAATCAGATTCACTGCAGGATTGCAGCAATCTTGGAGCCGCTGATGCAGCGCAGCGCACTTTCCAGCAGTCGAGCTGATCACTTTCACTTTCCCCATACTCCCCGTCCCGACCTACCTTCCTCCAAAAAATGTTCATTGACACCCCACAGCACTCTACTTTGATATCTTTATAACGCACAAAACCGTATTCCGCTCCACTTATTGCATGTCGAGAGAAAGTTGCAAGAGACTTGCTTGGAGTATTTGAGATTTTGACTTCTATTCTTGATGTTTCTATCTTAGTCTCACGTTCGAAGTGGCTAGAAGCTCACTGTTGTCCGACTACGTCACGCAGCGCCACGGGCTGCCTCTAGCGGCACTCTCGGGAAGCTTGTTCGAACCTCGCCTTGGTTCCTGTCACATCCTCGTCCGTGTGAAACTTTCCAATTGTCGCCAGGCATCACTGTCGCACGCGTCGCACGGTGTCGTCAGCCATCGTCGCCACCCACACGATGACGACTGTCGCCGACTTCCACTCCACTCGCTACACCAGCTGGTGCCCGGAGCGCAAAGACATCGAGCAATGTGAGCGGCGCTACATTAATTCAGTACTATGTGCTCCCCCTTACATTTTTTCTACTATGCGGTTCGACTCGAACCCTTTTTCTACACTGATGCGTTTAACGCGTTTCCCACGATCCCGGTGCTTGTACGTTAGGCACAACCGCCCGCCCTAGGAAAGACCTACGAGATTATCCTACGGTACATTGCACGAAACCAGCGTTCTTGGTGATTCGCACATTGACGTTCGGCCGAGCTGGCCGAATGCATCTCAAAATGCAGGGTTCTCTTTCTCCTCTTTCGACCCCAAGCAATACCCTCTCTCCTCTTTCATAGGCGAGAGCCACTTTGACCTTTTTTTTTTTTTTTTTTTTTTTTTTTCTCCGTTGGCGCTCTCCTCCTCCCCTCCCCCTCCTTTCCCGCGTCCCCTCCTTCCCCCGGCCTTTCCCAGGGGCGAGCGCCGTCGCGGAAGGCGGAGCCCCGCGCGACTGCCGCTTCCAGCCGCTGACTCTGCTGCCAGAGGATCACGAGAACGGAGAGGCTTGTAACGAGTACGACTACGCGGCGTGCGCGGAGGAGGATCTCGACGCGTACCTCGAATCTCTTCCCAAGTCGAATCGCTGGACAGGTGCGTGCTATGACACACGGCGTGAAAGACGCCGTGAAAGACGCCGTGAAAGACTCCGTGAAGGACGCCGTGGGAGGCGAATCGCGGCCGGAACTGTTATATCTCTGCTGGAGCTGAAAATACTTCGTGCGCGTAAGAGAACCTCGACGCATACCTCGAGTCGGTTCCTAAGTCGAACCGATGGACAAGTGCGCGCCGCGCCGCGACACCTGGGAATTCACCTGGAGATTCTCGTGAGCATTCACCTTGTTCCTGGAGAAACTCGGACGAACATTGTTGTTGTTGTTGTTGTTGTTGTTGTTGTTTTTTTTTTTTTTTTGTCCCGGTTTTCGAGGGCAGAATTAGAAGCTCCTGTGCGTAACTCGAGCAGGCCAATATCCGCATCGAGGATCTCGACCTCACCCAGTTTCCCATTCAGTCATCTTCCTTAACTTTCTATTTTCGTACATTGTCCCATTTTTAAATGACAGAGCTGGAGGCGTCCTGCGCGTGGCTGGACCAGGCCAACATCCGCATCGAGGAGCTCGACCTCACGCACGGCCTGCCAGAGCACCTCGTCCTCAACCAGCCACGTGTCCAGCACGCGCCTGACACGCATCACCCACGCGCTACTGCTGGCGCTTCTGCTACAGCCTCGTTCCCTCTGCCTCCTGCCGTCCCTTCTCCTGCTGCTGCTGCTGCTGCTGCTGCCGGCGCAGCTACTACAAGCGGAGCAGCTACAGAAGGGGATTTTCACCACAAGCTCTCGTCGCACTCCTCCTTCTCTGGCGTTTCCGCGAGCACGCCGCGGCACAAGCACCACCCCTCGCTCCGATCCCTCTCATCCTCTCTCCTAAACCACCTCGGTTTTACCCAACGCCCCCATTCTTCCCCCCGCTCCTCCCCCTCCCCCTCTGTCTCCGCGTCCACTTCTTCCTCCCCGATGAAGTCTCGCCAGACGCCCAGACGGCCGAGCAAGGAGTTCGTACCCAGGCCGAACCCGCAGCAGCAGATGCACCACTCCCAGCACCCATCTGCACCACTCCCCATCCCTCACCACCACGCCTCTTCCTCACCCGGTGTGCCCCAGGGCCCGTTTCACCAGTCCTCCTCATACTCCTCCTCTCCTGGGGTCCCCTCGGATCCGAGCCATCACTCTTCCTCCTCTCCTGGCATGGCCCTAAGCCAACTGCATCAATCCTCCTCCTCTCCTAAACTGCCCCTGGCGCCCATTCACCATGCGTCCTCCACCCCCGGTTTTGATTTCCCCCAGGCCCCATTTCACCACTCCTCCTCGTCTCCCGGATTGCTGGTTCATCCCAGCGGCGTTCCCTTAACGAATTTTACTGAACCGGAACACGGCGGGGTGCAGTACCAGCCGGGCGTTCTCTACACTCACATTAATGGTGCTGATATGGGGGGCAGCAGCGGCATCTACAGTGCGAAATTCGTTGATGCTGAGGAAGGAATTACGGGTGTAGAGATCATAGGAGCAGGTAACATTATGAATGGCGGTAACAATACGGGAGGTGGTAACATCATGACAGCTAGTAACGGCGGTTACAGCTCTCGCAATCCCAACTTTGGAGGCAGCGCCAGGTTCATTGCTCCTAAAATGGCCATGCACGAGCAGCAGCAGCAGCATCCTCGTCAGCATTTGCCTCGTCAGCACCAGGCGTTCGCCACGCCAGGTCGTGACATCGGCACCCGGGTCATGTCTTCTGTTGACAGCAGGACAGCTGGCACGGGCAGGACCTTGAAAGCATCCACCATTTTCCTGCCTGAGTTTTTACCTGGATCATCTGAGTGGCATCTGGTGGCTCCTCCGGAAGAATCTTCCTCTGTAGCTTCTTCCAACATTATTGCGCATAGAAGCTCAAACAGTATCAGCAGCAACAGCAGCAAGGGTAGCAGCGGTAGCAATGAAAATAACAGCTGCAAAAGCAGCAGCAACAGGGGTGGTGGTGCCAGCAAGAAGAGTGGACTGCACAAGTTTTGGGCATCTCTGCTGGACGGGGATTCGCAGTCCAAAGGCCGTGGAAGGAGGATCAAGGTTTGGATGGGAAATGCCCCTCGTGCAAATGTGGGTGTGAATGCGTAAGTGGGTAGGTGTTATGTATCCTGGTTCGCATTCATCTAAACAGGTTAATAGGTTTTGTTATCTTGCATTGGTATATACATTATACGGCATATAGTTATGAGTATGTCACCACTATCTGTAAGGAATTTTCTCGACATTCCTTATCGCGATCGTCAACATCGCGTACAGCAGCAGCCGTTGTTCGCCCGTTACTGCTAACGGGGCTTCGCCAACTTCGCGCGCAGTGTTTTACCAAACTATGCACCGTTTGCCAGGCCGAGTCGGCCTACGCTTCGGGACTAGCCCGAACCTCGATGCCAGCGTTGTCAAAACCAATTTATATGTTTGTAGGTTGTAGTGAGGTAGCCCATATAGGGTACCGTACAGGGCTCTCGCTAGGATTTTGGCCTGTCTGAAAACCTAAACCCAAAAAATCGTTTCGTCTGACGTTCAGACGAGAAATTTTCGCTGGTCTGTCTTTTCAGACGAAATTTCATTGCATGTCTGAAATCTCAGACGATTTTTTTTCCACGTCTGAAATTGCAACTTGCATCTTGATGATGCAGCGGTGCGATAGACTGCACGTTAGTGAATAGGACTGTGAGGCGTGCGGTTTGAGGGGCTGGAATTGTCAAACACTGTACATGTGTTATTGTTGTGTAGGCTACAGTGGGTTAGCCTTTAGGGGGTACACAATTCTAGGGTTTCATACGGTACTTGTACTCCAATTCTCTCATAGTTCAATCACTTTGTGTTTCTGACATGGCATTAGAGCTTAGGTCCTAGTCCTAGGACCACTTACCTAAGGGCCCACCGCTATAAGCGCCCTCGAGCGCCTCTCTTAGTGCGCCCTCGTGCGCCCCTCTTCCTCCTGCTGCCCGCGCGCAGCCCGCTAGTGCCGCGCGCGGCCTTTTTTTTCGCGCGCGTTACCCACTACCGGCCCGCGCGCGGCCCTCTGTTCTGAGCGCTCGACCGCCCCTAACCGCACACGCGCCCAGCGCCGCCCACGAGCAGCCCCTAGCCGCCCGTCGACCGGCCCCCAGGGTGCCGCAGCCCCGCCCCTAGGCCACCGCCACGCCCCGCTAGGCAGCCGCCCGCGCGCTAGTCAGGCCCGCGCACGGCCACGGCCCGCCCGCTACAGCCTCCCACGCGCACGCCCCTCCCGTAGCGCACCGTCGCGTAGCCCAGCCCGAGTCGAGCCGCGCCGCCCGAACCGAGCCGCGCAGCCCGAACCGAGCCGCGCCGCCCTAGCCGAGCCGCGCCGCCCTACTGTGCCCCACCTGCAGCACCTGCTGTTCCTGTTACTGCTACTGCTACTACTGCTACTGCTGCTACTGTTCCTACTACTGCCACTGCTTCTATGGCCACTCCTACTGTACTCACCTTTGACGCTGAGGGCCGTCCGATTAAGTTCGATGTTTGGCTCGATGACCTTCACCTCTACCTTCAGATCACTGCCAAGGACGATGTCTCCCTGTATGACCACACGTCAGGCGCCGCTCCTGCACCTCCCGCTACTGCTGATAGCACTACTGCTCGCTCCCAGTGGCAGACCCGTGATGCTCACGCTCGCCTAGCCGTTCGCAGCCACCTGCCGTTAGATGAGCGCGAGCACTTCGGCCAGCATAAGACCGCTAAAGAGCTGTACGACGCCGTAGTCGCGCGCTACTCCTCCCCTGCCACTGCTGCTATAGGCCGTCTCTCACTGCCCTACCTCTTTCCCGACCTGTCCGCCTTTGCCACTGTAGCTGACCTCATCACCCACCTCCGTACCAGTGACCTCCGCTACCGTGCCGCGCTCCCCCCCGATTTTCTCGCCAAGAACCCTCCCCCCGATGTACCTCACACTGTACCACCTTGTCACCCGCCTCCCTGACTCCCTTCGCACTGTCAGGGACCAGTTTCTCGCTCTCTCCCCCACTGACCTCACTGTCGACCTCCTCGAGAAGGAACTCCTAGCAGCTGAGAAGAGCATTGTAGCTGTAGGTGCCTCTCGTGGTGACCCCCGCACCCCCTTCTTTGAGGGGTGCTCCCCTCCCCCCTCCTCCCCTCCATTGCATCTGCTGCTGCTGTCGACTACCTCGGAGCTGAGGGAGTCGGGGCCGCCTCTACTCCTAGTGGGAGGCGCAAGGGCGGCAGGGGCAAGGGGGGCCGGGGTGGTGGAGGTGGAGGCGGGGGCGGCGGCGGTGGAGGGGGTGGGGGGGGCGGGGGTGGTGGCGGGAGTGGGAGTGGCGCGGGTGGTGGGGGGGTTAGTGGCGGCACAAGGGGTGGTGGCGGCGGCGGCGGTGTTACGGGAGGTGGGGGCGGTGGTGGCAGTGGTGGTGGAGGTGGAGCGGGTGGCGGGCGCGGTGGAGCGGTGCAGCGTGGGGGATTCGGCGGTGGCCAGAGGCAGCAGCAGCAGCGTCCCGGCGAGACTCCCTCGCCCCAGCAGCTCCGTGAGTGGTACTCTCAGCGTGGGGGGTCTGGGGGTGGGGGTCCCTGCCCGTACGTCATCCGCACAGGTGACCGCGCTGGCCAGACCTGTGGGAGGTTCCACACGGCGCAGCGCTGTTTCTTTCGCCTCGACGACGCCTGGCGCGAGCAGTTCCCTGACGCCTCTGAGCTGCCTCGCTGGGCTGATCTGCTTAGGAAGGGGATTGATGTCTTTGCTCTTGATTATGATGCTATCCTTGCTGCCATGTATGCATTGACTATTAGTGCTGAGGGTGACTGTTACCTGAGTGTGCCGCCTGACCCAGGTATTGGTACTGGTAAGGCTGCTGTGCTAGGTGCTCGTGCATCTGCGCCTGCTGGTACTGGGTCTACTGCGGCACTGCACACTTTCACACTGGACTCAGGTGCTTCCCGCTGTTTCTTTCGTGACCGCACTGTCCTTGAGCCGCTAGCTCGGCCTGTTGCTGTCTCCCTTGCTGACCCCTCTGGGGGCCCGGTCCTTGCGACCTCCTCCACTGTCCTCCCGTGTCCGGCGGTCCCGTCTGGCTCCCTGTCGGGTCTCTACCTCCCCTCGTTCTCTACGAACTTGGTGGCAGGCTCTGCTCTCCAGGACGGAGGTGTTCACCAGTTCACCCCTGCCTATGAGCGGGTGACCCACTGCACGTGTGCTCGGACGGGTCGCCACCTGGCTACCTTCACTCGGCAGCCGGGGTCCGACCTGTACACACTGACCACTGAGTCCCCTCAGGTAGCTGCGTCTGCGTCTGTGTCTGCGTCAGGTCAGCTGTCGGCTCCCTGCTCGTGTCGCTCCCTGTCGCACCAGACCGTCCTCTTGCCGGCACCACCGCCTTGGTCACCCCTCCGTGCAGCGCCTTCGTGGCATGCACTCCCGGTACCTTGTCTCTGGTCTTCCCAAAGTTCTCCCTCCCCTACCACCCTCGCCTGCTCCTCCCTGTCTTCCCTGTGTCGAGGGGCGGCAGCGCGCCACCCCTCACTCCTCCTCGTTCCCTCCCACAGAGGCTCCCCTGCGAACTCTTCACCTGGACGTGTGGGGCCCAGCCCGCGTCCGGGGACAGGGCCACGAGCGGTACTTCCTGCTGGTCGTCGACGACTACACGCGCTACACCATGGTCTTCCCCTTGCGCACCAAGGGTGAGGTCCTTGATGTTTTGATCCCTTGGATCCGCGCCGCTCGTCTCCAGCTCCGCCAGCGGTTCCAGTCGGACTTTCCCGTCCTGCGTCTGCACTCTGACAGGGGTGGTGAGTTTTCCTCCGCCCTCCTGGCCGCCTACTGTGCGGAGCACGGCATCCGCCAGACTTTCACGCTTCCGGACTCCCCACAGCAGAATGGGGTTGCTGAGCGCCGCATTGGTTTAGTCATGGAGGTCGCTCGTACCTCCATGATCCATGCGGCTGCCCCCCATTTCCTGTGGCCGTTTGCAGTGCGGTACGCTGCGCATCAGCTCAACCTTTGGCCCCGTGTCTCTGCTCCGGAGACCTCGCCCACACTGCGTTGGACGGGGGAGGTTGGCGATGCGTCGGTGTTCCGTGTCTGGGGATGCCGAGCCCTTGTTCGCGATACGTCCGCGGACAAGCTCTCCTCCCGTGCCGTTCCCTGCGTCTTCCTTGGCTTTGTCCCTGACGCGTCTGGCTGGCAGTTTTACCACCCCACCTCGTGCCGTGTCTTTGCCTCTCAGGACGTCACCTTTGACGAGTCGGTCCCCTTTTACCGTCTCTTCCCCTACCGCACTGCCCCCCTCCCTCCCCCGCCGCTTTTCCTCGCTCCAGGTCCCCCTCCGCTAGACCCCCTTCCCCCTCAGGGTCCTGCTCCCTCAGGTGTCTCTCAGGTAGACCCTCCTCCCGTCGCTGAGCCTGTCGAGGTCACAGGTGACTCAGGTGCTGCTGCGGGTGGTACTGCTGGGGGTGCTGAGCCTGGGGGTGCTGAGACTGGGGGTGCTGAGCCTGGGGGTGCGGAGACTGGGGGTGCTGAGCCTGGGGGTGCTGAGACTGGGGGTGCTGAGCCTGGGGGTGCTGAGCCTGGGGGTGCTGAGCCTGGGGGTGCTGAGCCTAGAGGTCCTGGCTCTGGTGGCGCTGGAGCTGGAGGTTCTGGAGCTGCTGGAGCTACCGCTGGTTAGAGCTGGAGGTTCTGGAGCTGCTACGGGTGCTGACGCTGAGGGTTCTGAGTCTGCTGTTGTGCGGTCTCCTTGGAGTAGCCGCCTTCGTCCGCGTGTGCCTCTCACCTCCCAGCAGCTGCGTGACAGGTACGGTCACCGTCAGTGTCGCGCTCCTGTCGCTCGGGACTCTGCTCCTGGCGGTACTTCCACTGACGTCACTGGAGCTGAGAGTGGTGCTGGTTTGTTGTCTCCTGGGGGTGCCCACGTCGCTGGTCCCGGAGGTGCTCGTACCGCTGGTACTCGAGCTGCTGGGGCTGGAGGTGCTGTGTCTGAGGGTACTCCTACTAGGGACACTGCGACTGGGGGTGCTGGTTCTGGAGGCGCTGCTGCTGGTGGAGACTGTCCTGGAGGAGTTGCCGCTGGGGGTGGTGGAGCTACTGGAGGTACGGGAGCTGCTGTAGGTGCTGGAGCTGCTGGTGCTGGCGGCACTACACAGTCGCGCCTGTTCTTCGCTCCGCCGTCTCCGTCGTCTCTGCCACCGCCTGACTCTGTCCTTCACCAGGTTCTTAGTCTTCCGTCTTCTACCGGTCTTCCCCTCCTGCCTGACTCACCGCTTCCTGCTCCTTCTCCTTACACTGAGCAGTCAGGAGGTCTTACTGAGCGTCGTGAGCCTGCGTCGCGTCCTGTCTCGCCAGTTCGTTCTGGTCACGCGTCTGTTAGCCACTGTTGTCACCGACCCGTCGTTTGAGTCTACTGCTGCGTCTGCCTTGGTCGCTGAGCTTGTTGACTTTGCTGCTGCCTGTCGTCTAGACTACGCTGCTAGCCTTGTTGCTGAGTCTGAGTCTGTCTGTCCTCCGTCCGTCGGGGGTGAGTGTGCTCTTGGCACGGACGTCCTTGAGGACAGGCACGAGGACCTTGAGTGTCTTGCAGCCGCTGCGCCTCATCTCGTGGCCATGCTGCTTGCCCCTGAGGGAGACCCGGATGCTATAGACATCCCTACCCCGCGATCTTACGCTGAGGCGATCGCGGGTCCCTACTCCTCTCAGTGGCAGGCAGCCATGGACGCAGAGATGGCATCCTGGAAGTCCACTGGCACTTACGTTGATGACGTTCCCCCTCCTGGGGCGAACATCGTCAGTGGCATGTGGATTTTCAGGGTGAAGCGGCCGCCGGGTTCTCCACCTGTCTTCAAGGCTCGTTACGTTGCTTGAGGCTTCAGTCAGCGAGAGGGAGTCGACTTCTTTCAGACCTTCTCCCCCACCCCGAAGATGACCACTCTTCGGGTACTGCTGCACGTTGCCGCTCAGCGTGACTACGAGCTTCACTCTCTTGACTTCAGCACAGCTTTCTTGCAGGGCAGCCTGCACGAGGAGATCTGGCTGCGCCGCCCACCTGGCTTCACTGGGTCGTTCCCTCCTGGTACCCAGTGGAGCCTCCGGTGGCCGGTCTACGGTCTCCGCCAGGCGCCACGTGAGTGGCACGACACACTGAGGACCACACTTGCGGCTCTTGGGTTCGCGCCTTCTACTGCTGACCCGTCGCTGTTTCTGCGCACCGACACTTCGCTGCCGCCGTTCTACATCCTCGTGTACGTCGACGACTTGGTCTTTGCCACTGCTGACACTGAGGCTCTCGCCCACGTGAAGTCTGAGCTGCAGAAGAGACACACATGCACAGACCTGGGTGAACTGCGCAGCTACCTTGGCTTGCAGATCACCCAGGACAGAGCACGCCGCACCATCACACTGACCCAGTCACACATGGTGCAGCAGGTCCTTCAGCGCTTCGGCTTCACCTGGTCCTCAGCACAGGCCACTCCTCTGGCTATAGGTCACTCGCTCTCAGCTCTGCCTTCGGATGAGTCCGTAGAGCCGAGTGGTCCTTACCCAGAGCTAGTTGGTTGCCTCATGTACCTGATGACTTGCACTCGTTCTGGCCCGCTACGTGGCTCCTGGTAGGCACCGAAAGGTGCACTGGGATGCTGCAAAGAGGGTATTGCGCTACTTGTGCAGTACATCGTGCATGGGGCTCGTGCTTGGAGGAGGGAGCCCAGTTGTTCTCACTGGGCACTCAGACGCTTCTTGGGTTGACGACCAGGCTACACAGCGGTCGTCACAGGGTTACACCTTCAGTCTTGGCTCTGGCTCAGTTTCTTGGCGTTCTACACGTTCGTCTTCAGTTCTCAGCTCCAGTTGTGAGGCTGAGATCTACGCCACAGCCATGGCTGCTCAGGAGTTACGCTGGCTCACCTACCTGCTGACCGACCTTGGAGAGCGGCCTCGTTCTCCTCCAGTGCTGTACGTTGACAACAAGGCTGCCATTGCCTTGTGTGAGGAGCACAGACTGGAGCACAGAACAAAGCACATCGCTCTGCGGTACTTTCTGGCTCGAGAGTTGCAGTAGCGTGGTCAGCTTCGTCTGCGTTACGTGGCCACTCAGGCCAACACTGCTGATATATTCACCAAGGCACTTCCGCCTAGTGATCATCAGCGTTTCTGCACTTTGTTAGGGCTTGTGCCCACTTTTCCTCACTTGTTGTAGACTTTGCTTGTACTGTGATCTATATATATGTATACCTGCATTCTTGCTAGATATAGATAATTGTGATGCTTGTACTACATATATGCCTCTGCATGTGAACTGGCCTTGTGGCTCTTTGCTTGTGCTCAGAATGTGTGGTGACGTTGTGATCCACCCTGAGCTTGCTTGCCTTTCTTGACTGGTCTTGTGACCCCTTGTTCTCCCCCACTTTGCCTATGGGGGTGTGTCAAACACTGTACATGTGTTGTTGTTGTGTAGGCTACAGTGGGTTAGCCTTTAGGGGGTACACAATTCTAGGGTTTCATACTTGTACTCCATAGGGGAAGGGTTGGGTTGGGAAATGTATGAGAGAGTTGGGGGGGTAGGGGAAGACTGTGCTGGAAGATGTGCGACAGCGCGAGGGAGTTGGGGGAAGTGCCGGGCAGGAGTTGGTAGGGCGGCTAGGCTGGTAGGGGCGAGGGGGACTTACGGTAGCGCTAGGCTGGCAGACGTGGGTGGGGGGAGGGTGGCTTGGCTGGGCTGGTAGAGGCGAAGGGGACTTGCCGTAAACTCCCGTATATAAGACCCCCTCCAGTTGTAGACCCTCGGGTCTTTAATACGGGGGGGGGGGGTACTCTATTCGAGTATATGCGAGTTATACCCCCCTAGATGGCTCCTGACAACATAAGACCCCCCCCCACCTTAGAGAATTCCGGATTTTCAGCAAATGCAATAGAAAATGGTCATTTCCATGTCCAGGGAGAGACAGAACCACCATAAACGCACATGCACAGACACTAAGTGGTGTTTGTGGCCAATGGGAGGAGGCACCCATATAGAGTTCGTGATGACGTAGGTTTGGCACTCGTGGAGACCACGCGGAGTATCTTTGGGAGGTGCTACAAACGGAGCAATTCGAAAATACTTGTTTGAGGTCAAAATCATGTGTCTTATAAAAGTCAATTTGAACAGACCCGGGTCTTATAAAAAGTATGTCATATGTATAGACCCCCCCCTTTTTTTGGGTGCGATTATCATAATACCCCCGGGTCTTATATACTGGGGTTTCGTGACTGGTTTCGTGAATGCATTCGCCAGTCTGACATGCCACCTAAGCGAGGTTCATGGTGCATGTAACAGACATTTGGGCAGGTTCACACTGCCACGTGTGGATTGCACTTGTGGGGTACAAGCGCATTATCAGCCAGGCGTTGTTCGGGCGCCCCACGTCAGACATTCTATCGTGTGGCTACCAAACTGAACTGGCGGAGATTCAAGACGGATGCATGGAACGAACAACAGCCACACAACCGGGAACATCCTCACAGAACAGGCCCCACGAGTGCCTCAGCCCGCTCGAAATCCGAAGTTAAAATGAGCCCAACGAATTCACAAGTGCATTGTGCTCACACAACCCCGCCTCTCACGATGCCTCGTTTCCACCGTCGTGTGCATCTGCCGCTGCACATTAAGCGCGCGGTATGCGCGCATCACGTAGATAACCCCCGCATGCGGCACGTTGACCTGGCGAAGTGGTGCTATTCCCAGTACGGCTTGCGCCCTGACCGCTCCACTGTCGGGCGCATTCTGAAAAGCGCCGAGCGCTGGGCTGTCGTGGCGATGGGCGACAACCAAGTCCGCCGGCGTGGCGGCGCATGGCCGGAGCTGGAGCAGGCCATGGCGCGGTGGATCGCAAACGCCGGCCCCGCCGGAGTTCCTCTGACGCTGCAGACCATCCGCGACCATGTCGCGACTATGGCGCGACACATGGGCATTCCGCCCACCTTTCGCTGCTCCATCGGCTGGATGCGCCGTGCGTTGCGGCGCCAAGGGGTGAGGTGCCGTGCATCAGCCGGCGAGGCGGCAAGCGCGGACATGGCCGCAGTGCGCGACGCCCGGGAGAAGCTCCCGCAACTGCTTACTCACCTCGGTCTCATCCTGCGCGACTCTTTCAACATGGACGTACACCAATGGGCACAATCCTGGGCGTAAGGTGTTGAAGGAGCGCCTCACGGTGGCATTCCTGGTCGATGCGGACGGGAGTCACGCGTTCCGCCCGCTTGTCATCAGCAAGGCGAAGCGCCCGCACGATTTCCGCCCAGACTACGACCCCGAGGCCCTCTGCTACCGGCGTCACAACGCCAAAGGGTGGATGACGTCACCGGTGAGAATGTATCTTTTGTTTCTGAATGTGCGCCGTTGTGTCATTGATCTTTTATTCTCTGGCTCTAACCCCGTCCCTCCCTTCCATGCCAACAGTTGTTCTCTCACTTCATATCGCAACTGAATGCTGCGATGTATGCGGAGGGCCGCCACATCGCAGTGTTACTGGACAACGCGAGCTCGCACATGCTGCGGAGCGAGCATGCGTGGAGCGAGATCGTATGCGGCATGCGGACGACGTGTTTGAGCAATGTCCATCTCGTCTTCCTGCCACCGAACACCACTGCCTTCACGCAGCCCCTTGACCAGGGCATCATTGCCACCGCCAAGGCCCGCTACCGCCAGCACTGGCTGCGGGCCTTCACGGCTTTGTGGAGTGCGGACGGCGCGACCAGCGCTGTCGCGCGGTTCCGCCCGAACCTGCGCGACGTGTTGGGGTGGCTGTCGGACGCGTGGACGAGCGTCGGTGCGCGCACCATCCAGCAGTGCTGGTGGTGCACGGGATGTCTCCCGCTGACGTGGTCCATGGAGTTGACCCACGTGCACGACGACGAGCCCACCCCGCCCGTCTATCCCGACATCGAGCTCGATGACGACATAGACGACGTCGGCACGCTCATAGGTGGGCTCGGGCTCGGGCATGGCGCGATGACGGCGACCGAATATGTCGCCATCGACGACGGTGAGCCGACGTGCGCCGAGCCCGCGGCGGAGCAGACGATGACGGAGCTGGAGGTGGGCCCGGTGGCAGAGCTTTGGGAGGCGCCGACCACAATGCAGGCTGTATACGACGATGCCAACCCCGTGGGCCGTGAAGCGCAGCGCACTGCCCGGGCGGCCTGCGAGATGCTCATCGGCTATGCTCGCGCGACGTGCATCGCGCCGCGCGACCTCTGCCACCTGTTCGACATCCGCAACCCCATCATTATCGCGCGGATGGAGCGGGCAAGCCCGCCCATTAATCTCAACGTGGCTCCCCCGCCCGTGCTTACCCCGGGCGCAACACCCACGCCTGGCACCCCGCGCCCGCGCGGCCGTGTTCTGCCTGGCTGGATGACCCAGCCGTCCCGCCGTCAGCAGCTGCTGGACGCCGGTGTTGGCGCCGTTTTGGGCGACGGTATGTTGACGCGACGGAATGGATGCGCATGTGAGGTGTGTTGGAGCCACCCCGTACAGGCGTCAGGTGGATTTTGATGTGCACAAGTGTTCTCTCCTCACGCACATTTGTGTGTGTTTCGATATTTGTGGACATTGGAGTTGTGGGCCATGTGGGAAATGCTGATTGGGTGTGATACGTGGTTTGTATGTTTCAATCTAAGTTGAACATTTGTTGAGGCTGTTTGGTTCATGGTTCTTGCAGTCGTAAAGTAACCAGTATCACTCATGAATGACAACGAGTGCCTACCATTATTGTTGCGAAACAGACAAATCGGGTGGTTACCATATGCAGTTTATAAGCACGCGCAAAGCGTGACGAAACGTACAAACCCCATACGAAATGTCGGTTTAGCATACAGTCCCCCTTCACAAGGCAACCGGGAGGGGCTCTAACGGGCATTAGTTATAGCGAGGCGGGCTTTCTGCTGGTACAGTAAACTACGAAATTCGGTTACTGTAGTGAGGCGACACGAATTACTACACGTGCAATTACAACCACCAAAGGTGCCTGCCAGGACTGACAAACTATGGCTACGTGGGCAGAATTGTCGGTATCAGATGAAACGAAACTCGCTATCTGAAAATTCAGATAGCGTATAACGCATGCTCTGAAAATTCAGACGAGATAAAATCCTTTGTCTTATGGATCAGACGAAATAAAAAGCATTGTCTTAAGAATCAGATGAAAGGAAAAATGAAGGTCTGAAATTCAGACCATCAGACCAAATCGGGGCATGTTCCTACGGCCCCTTATCAGGCCAACCTCTTATCAGGCTCGCGTCACAACACACTGAAATTTCCCTAAACCAAAAAACCTTCGCGAATTTTACCAGGCAAAAATGCGAAGCTGATATGAGGTGTCCCTGATAAGGGGCCGTAGGAACATGCCCTTGGTCTGATAACGAGAGCCCTGGTACCGTGTAGTTCCGGCTATAAGACTCGGGGGACTCTCTACAAATGCTTAAATATATGCTTGGGTGGACATTATGGCGGCAGCAAATTTTTGAAGACCTGGGGTACACTTATTTATCAACTATCAATCTGTTATTTGGGGTGTACAGCTCGATTTGGGGGGGGGGGGGGAGGGGAGGGGGGAGGGGTCTTATATTCGTAACGAATTCGCGCGAATTTCGTGCGAGCGGCGCGTCAGATCTGTGTCAGAATTCGAGTCTGACACAAAAAGCGTGTCAGAATTCGAATATGTGCCAATAAAATCTGATTCACAATAGCAATCATAACTACTGTATACAGAAAAGGAGGTTCTTAGGATAATTAGGGGCCAAGGGGGGGGCCTCACAAAACCTGCCACAATAAGAGTCCCCCTACTCATTCAAGAGTCCCGGGGGACCTTTTTTCCGGCGGGTCTTTTAGCCGGAACTATACGGTAAAACCCTTTTAGGGTTAGGCACTTGTACTTTCATTCCGTACTAGTGAAGCCATTCTTGCTCGTTAATTTATGACATGGTATCAGAGCTTGTAGGCTATCTCATGTACCTGATGACGTGCACACGACCTGACCTCGCGTACCCTCTCAGCATCCTTGCACAATTCGCTGCGCCAAGAGACACCGGAAGGAGCACTAGACAGCTGCGCAGAGGGTACTGCGTTACTTGTGCAGTACATCAGCATGAGGCTTGTGCTTGGAGGACGGGGTCCAGTTGTCCTCACTGGACACTCAGACGCTTCTTGGGCAAATGACCTGACGACTCAGCGGTCGTTACAGGGTTGCACCTTAAGCCTTGGCTCCGGTTCAGTTTCCTGGAAATCTACCCGCTCGTCTTCTGTTCTCAGCTCCAGTTGTGAGGCTGAGATCTACGCGGGGGCCATGGCTGCACAGGAGTTACGCTGGCTGACCTACCTACTTACCGACTTGGGAGAGCGGCCTCGTTCTCCTCCGGTTCTGTACGTCGACAACAAGGCCATGATTGCCTTGTGTCAGGATCGTAGACTGGAGCACAGAACGAAGCATATCGCTCTGCGTTTCATCCTCACACGAGAGTTGCAGCAGCGTGGTCAGCTTCGTCTTGCTTACGTGGCCAGACGGGCAAACACTGCTGATATTTTCACCAAGGCACTTGTGTCTGGTGATCATCAGCGTTTCTGCACTGCTCTAGGCCTTGTGCCTACTCTGCCTGCATACTTAGTCTTGCTAGGTTGTGATCACTGTACTACATGTGCTCGTTATAACTCTGCATGTGAACTGGTCTTGTGACCATTTGCTTGTGCTCGGACTGTGTGGTGACTTAGTGATCCACCCTGAGCTTTGCTCCGTTGTGTTTGTCTGGTCTTGTGATCATTGATTGCTCTTAATATCCCCCACTTTGCCTATGGGGGTGTGTCAAAATCAATTTATATGTTTGTAGCTGTAGTGGGGTTAGGTATTTGTACTTTCATTCCTTTCTAGCGAAGCCATTCGTGCTCGTTAGTTTCTGACAAGCCTAGCACTAGCTAGCTCGCACGCACCGAGTTATCGTTTGCATGTTCGCACATAAGTATTCGCTCAATGCCTTCGCTCATACTTAATACTCATTTGACACCTAGTGCAATCCTCGCTATCTCGTTCCATTGCACCCGTAACACTTGGTATTCAGAGCCACTTTCCTTTCGAACCGCGCATCTCCGCACCCAGAGAAATCAACTTTTATTTTTTGCACTCAAAGGGACTCACGCACCTTAGCCCCTAGGAGCCGCTGTCCTCGCGTTCTCCTGTAAACGCGTGCAGCCACGACTGCGCCTAGACTAAGCTGAGCCGACGCCCTTCGGAATGGTCGAGCACATCAATGTTACGACCCTCATGCAGGAACTCCTCAACGAACTGCTGCAGCAGCAACGCGAAAGTTCTGAAGAAACTGCGGCACTGACGGCAGAACGAACGTCCCTTCAAAATGATGTCGCACGAGCATAACAAACACAGTCACAGACAAGGCACGCACAGACAACCTGCACAACAGATATCACAACACGGAAGTGTGGGGCAACCCTCGAGCGCGGCTAGTGATGGCGTTGCCTGCAACGACGGAGACGACGAACACGGCGCGACACACACCCGAAGCAACGAATGCAGCCATGAGCCAACCTCGCGTCACGATTTCGGTGCCGATGCCGCTCAAGTCGTCCGCCTTGCTTCGATCCCAGTCAACGGGGTGGTCCTACCGTTCAGGTATGGATATTCATTATGAACGTTTTTTTCGACGCGAACTCCGTCTCGGAGGATTCGACGAAGATTCGTTACGCCGTGTCGCTGCTGCGAGGACCCGCCATGGATTGGTGGCGCGTCATCGTCACGAAGCCGACGGACTACCAGACTCTATCGACACAGGAAGGACAAACCGGATTCTGGGCGCCGTCGTATTTCGTGGAAGTGCCCCAGTATTGCACTTGGGATGCGTGGTGCGCAGGTCTGCGTGCGTCAGAGCCAATTGCGGCCTCGATCACGGCGCGTCAGAAGCTCTACACTTGGCGTCAGCTCGGTTCCGTCCAAGACTACACCAGCGGGTTTCTGGCATTGTGCGAGCAGGTGGGATACATGCACGAGGGGGAGCGTATCGACCGCTACATCGGCGGCCTGAAGCATGAAATCGCTCAGGAAATCCATTTGCGCAATGTTACGGTGTTGAATGAGATCCTCGCTATGGCAAATAAATTGGATTTTCTTCGCCGACCGAGATTGGGTTCCTATGGCAACAGGAATAGCTAGGGACATCGGCCTCGTGGGACAAACGAGCTCGCCACGACACACGTTGTCTCCACGAATGGCGCTGCCGCACCGTTTAAAGGGCGCTGCTGCGCATGCAATAGGCCGGGACAATGCAAAAGCGAATGCCCGGAAAACGCGGAGCATCAGAAACAGACCAACCAGCAGGGAAACGCGGGCCCTCTACTGACAGGTCACGCCGCTCGCCCGACCCAACCGACCCTCACCGAGTGATTGTGCCGGTTCACGCAATCGACCACACCCGGCCGAATAAGGAGGGTACCGCGGTAGATAGCCCCATACTGCTTAGTGGGACAATCGGGACAGACTTAGTTAAGATCTTCGTGGACGGGGGAGCCAGCCACAATCTGATCAACACTGCCACAGCACGGAAACTGAAACTGCCATTGGAAGGTGTTTACCTGAGATCGACGCAAGACTGGTCGACGGCACGCTACTGGCGACACGAGAACGCGTGGACCGAGTTCGGATTCGATGCGGGGTATCTTTACGTTTAGCCAAGAAATGCTCGCAACGACCCTCGATGGGACCGACATTTTACTCGGTCGTGATTGGCTGCGACGACACAACCCACGAATCAACTCGACGACGGGGTGACTGCGCCGTGCGAGTGAATGGTTACCTCACTAGGGATCACTTCAGTCTTCGTCGGTGCGTATCAACGCGATCACGATGAAATTCACTGTAGCGGTCGGAGCTGACGTGTATGCGGTTGATATTCGGGAAGTCGAGGCAGCAGACAAGGGGAGTGATTTACAGAAACGGCTTGCCGACGTACCGGATGACCTGGCTTTTGTAGAGGCGTGTCCTCTGGTTGGCAGGAACTTGGAGTTATGCTAACCACTAGAGCTCTGTCTTAGTTTTCCAACGAGCCGTCAAACGCTCCGTTCGCCTAAGAAACAAGCGAGCTATAGATGGAAACGTGAAGACTATGCTCTAGGAATAGAGATTAGAAGCTCTCTGGATTTTCTGGTTCGAATGTACCTTGTACAATGAACTCTGGTTTTCACTATGAAACATGCAAACAAGGCGAGCACATTTATATCTACTCAATACATCGAGTCGCGCATGTAACATCTAGCTACTACGAGATGTGTCGTGAACTTTCATGCAACATTTGGAATGGGGTGAAATTCGGCAACCGAATTTCACTGGTTCGAATGTTCCCTGAATCTCGATTCTTCTAGTGCTGCCATGTGGCACGAATTCAATGGGTCTTCCGAAGTCAACCCACTCACTTCGAAACCTGCAGCTCACGCAACATGTGAGCTTCATTCGGTGGTTGGGGGCAAACCTCCCCCCCACACGCAACCTCCAACAC